GAAGGTCCCTTCCAACCCAAACCATTTGATGGTTCTACGATCAGAGCTCTCTGCCCTCACCGCCCTGAGAAATTCCTGTTAAATTAAACTTCCCAGTAGGAACCAGAGTGGCTCCACTTGTCCAGAGCAGGGAGAGCAGGACACGGAGGCTTAGGGGGTTTCACGCAGAAAAGGCAGGATTTAGGTAAATGTGTGCTGCTTGCCAAGGCAAATACTAGTTTGGATCGCAAAGGATCCACTAACGCGGGGCGATGCTGCGCTCGCAGGATCAGCGCTGCGGCAGACACCGCTCGCTCAGCTGACAAAGCTTTACCCTTAATGCTGGCCGGACACATCGATCAAATAACATACACCTTGTGCAAAAACGGCCACGATCCCCTTGGCTAGGACAGCTCCCCGTCAGCGTGTTCGAAAAATCATCTCTCTTTCCTGTTAGTTGACTTCGAAGCGGGAGTTCCTTTGAGGTTTATTTTCGCGAAGCTGGGGGGTTCCCGGTGCTCAGCCCGCCTCGGGCCGGGGGATAATATTAACCCGTGTTTGCATCCGCAGCCGGTGCCCGGCAGCAGTCGCAGCGGCTGGCACGAGCGTGGAGGCTCGGTCAGAATAACTGAAGTTAAAAATGTGTCGGGTTCGTGAGTCCACCCACAGACCAGAAAACGCCAAACTTGTATTATTTTTGAATCCCCTGATTTTTAAGGGCTGGTGGAAATAAGATATCTTGCTTCTGACTTCCAAGCAATAAAGGGAGGTGAATCACTGCTAGAAAAAAAACTCCCGTGGACCACCCAGTCGCTCTGTACAAAGCCGTAAAACGAGCCTCAGCAGAAGTGGCAAAGTGCAGAGCTGTTTTCTTAATATTACTGCAATTACGCAAGGCAAATCACATCAGAAAAGGATCAGAGTTTCCTAACAGAGTAGCTAAGTGAGAAGTGTGTTAATGACTAGAGGCTGATTAATATGCATTGAATTAAATCACATTTGGATCAAAGGAGGAGCACCAAACCTCAAATATAACATGTTATGTTCGAGGACCTAATGTGTATGTCATTCAGATTTAAATACTTTTTCTTTGCCTCGTAATTCTGGATAATTAGCCAACTCTGGATAAAAAAGTAATTATTTTTAAAGTAAATAATAGGTAGGACTTTTGTTATTTGCTGTAGTTGGTCAGATCTCTCATTTTTTTAAGGTTGTCTGTTACTGACAAGTCCTGCTGGGGTTTTGAAAATTGGACCTTGCAAATCATCCTATTTTAAAAAATGGTGCAAATCGTCTGAAGTGTGAAGTGACATGTTTTTAACATTTATTTGTCGTTGTTTTAATGAGAAAACATACATCTTTTTTAACAGAACACTGGCTGAAAGTCCTCAGACCAGAATCGCGCATGTGTTATTGTGGAATATGTATTTTGGGAGACCACCTCTTATTTTCGAGCGGGAGAGCGAGCATCACAGCGAGCCTGTTTCAGGGGAAAAACCCCTGAAAGCTGTAATCCCGGTGGCTGGGGGCACTCCGGGATAAACCACAGGGCAACTCCGGGGACCAGCACTTGGGCACGCAGGTATTTCGGAGGGGACTTGTCATTAAGGCAGTGGATTAGTTTTGGGTCCTATTTCAGGTTCTGCTGCGAGACTCCTTACGTGATCCTGAGTGAGTTTCTTTAAGGTGATATCCCCAGAGAGCGTTGCTGAAATAAGAATTAGGTGCCAAAATTCTTCCACTCTCTGCCTGTAACACAGCTGTAATACATCCTAATTTTAATCTTTGACCAGTATGTTTAGATTTAGTTTTTTCAGGACAGGAACTGCCCTCTTACTGTCCTGTTTGGCAATTCTAAAGTTACAACAGGTCCACGTTGCAATTGGAGCCTCCTCATGTTACGTGAGTATTACAAAATCCTGATAACAAACCCCCAGGTAATGGCCAAAAGCCCTTGAAAGCAAATTAAGTGTGCTGCTTATGAAGTAAGGTGGTGGGCTCATCCCCTTGTCCCCACGCGCGTGGCTGGCACGGCCATGGAGACCCTTCTCTGGAGCAAGCCCCAGCAGAGATCGAAGACCTCTGAGTGAGGTCAAGAGACGCTTCTCTAAAAGCCAAGGGCAGCATGAAGAGATATGTAAAAAATATATTGCAGTGTTCCTAGACATCCCAGGATTTAGCCAAAGACCTGCTCTGTTACATGATCTGTCTTGTGCTGTAGGAAGTTTTTCCATGATGGTTACGTGATATGTTACACCATGGGGTTGATACCTGCCAATACCCGTTTGAGCTTTCATCATCCTGGCCAGAGGAGAACCTGGGAGGTTCGGTAGGTTTTCCTTTTTGCCTGGGATGTAGCTTTTTGGTGTTCATTGTGGGGTTTTTGTGTATGTTGGAGAGGGCAGACCCAAGCCTGTGGTGGTCTCTTGCTCCCAAGAAGTCTCCTTGTGTTTGACTTGAGTCGGTCAGATGGGTTTCCTCCAGGGAAACACTGTCCTCGGGCGCACTGTGGGCTGGAGGAGCCCTGGAGAACTTCAGCTATGCCTCTTGGGTTTGTGGTCAGTCCTTCAGCTTCTGCATCTCCTCAGGGTTTCTGAAAGATTCGTCACTTGTTCACTGAGAGGAGGAGAGCGGTGGCGGGGCTGAGGTTAATCTGGCAGGAGCATGGTCCACACTGCAGCTCCTCTGCCTGCGGCGGGATGCTGGGGGGTTGTGGGTTTGTGTGTTGGGTCTTGCGCTGTCTTGAAAGTCTTCCTTGACCACATGGGCTAAAATTGTGAGTAAACAGTTCAGGGGAGGATAAAGTTCAGCTGTGTGAATGGAGAAGTGTTCTTTAAATAAACTAATAGTAGTGCCCATCAAGATTACAGCTTTCAACCCAGCTGGAAGGTGGGGAAGTTCTCATTATCTGGTCTGAAGGCTGAGAAATAAATTACTTTATTACATCAGGGCATTATTTTTCGACGTGTAATAGATTAAGTCAGCTTTATAACCTTCATTTTTTACGGATAAGATGGTGAGACTGCTTTCTTTTCTTTCCTTTTTTCCGCCTCTTTTGTTTTAACGTGTCTGAGGAACAGCTAGTTAATTAGGGCTAAAACCTAAGTAATGTGACTAATGGGAGAAGAATCCGAATCAGCCTCAAAACTCAAAATAGTCCCAAACAGGCATCAGCTGCTTTTCTCTTCTTGTCTTTGTGCGAGTGGATTCCCATGTATTGTTTTATGCCAACACGCTAAATCGCTCCTGACACGTTCCTTTGTGACCGCTGCGGTGGCTGGGCAGCCCCGGGGAAACCCAGATGTGCCTTTACGGCCACCACCCCGGGCTTGGCTTCGTTTGACACGTCGTTTTGCTGGCGCCGGAGCAAGTACACGACGTCCGTTGTGCATCTGGTGCGAGTCTCGGTGTCATCAAGGTTGAGCTGGAAGCAATCCCTTCTCTCGGATGAGACGCGGAGCGGTCAAACGCTTCGGACGCTTTTGGTTAAAAGCCACGTTGTGTGTGAAGGCGAAGCGAACGGGGTTTGTGAGTCTGTCAGTTCTCAGCACCCTGCGTGGTGCCAGCGCAGCGCGGGCTGCTGCTTTCCCAAGGTTAACGGGCAGATGGGATGAAACCGGGCTGTGCGACGTGCGGGGTGACGCACCATGGGTCGGGAGCGGAGGTGTCGGTGTGATGCCGGGAACTGCGTATTTGGAAATTGCTTATGTGCAGGGGACTTGGGTGCACTGGGTGGCAAGCACTGACGTGACACCCCGGCAGAGAAGATAAATGTGGCGTTAAAACACAGCAGGAGGGGTAGTTCTGGTTGAGCAAGAGAAATGTTAGCATCGCTGTACGAGTTGCTGGTGGGAGCCATCTGATACCCTCCGTGCGGTCCTTGTCGGCACCCAGGAAGGTTGAACTTTGCTCGGGTTGAGGAGATGGCTGCGGGGATAAGCAGGCAGGGAAGTCCTTTGGGAGAGGAGTCCAGAGCAGTTTGGCGTGCTTTAAAGAATAAAAACGGAGAAGGGATATAACTGTACAAATAAACCAGGGGGGTCTGTGAACAGGTAATAACTGGCTTAGACAAAAATAAGTATAGACTGGGCTTGAGTAAATTTAGCCTGGAAAAATAGAAATTAAAAACAACGGTTGTGAGGAAGCAGAAGTTGCTCTGTGCGTTCAGGTTTCTTTGAAGCTCTAATGAAAGGCTCTGGCAGGGGGGGGCCTTGAGCAGGGGTGTACCTGCACCTTCCCCGTGGCTGATGTGTGAACAGGGCGAGGAAGTGGCATCTCACAGCGGCAAAATGAAGCCGTGTGCTGTGAAGAGGTGATTCCTGACCAAGGCTAAACAGGCGGTGCCCAAAGACAACCTCCTGATGCTCGTTAGGACTTGCTGGAGAATGGCAAGAAGGTTCCTCATATTTTTCAAGTGATGGTAAGAGTAAGACAAAAAATAACGTGTGCCTACAAAAAGCCTTTCCCAATGAGTACAGATATTTATGGAGACTCCTCCAAAGGCTCACAGATTTTTCCACTTTCTCTGCCTTACACATGCAAGACATTCTCCTAAACGGCCAATAAAAGCTACAAGTAAAAAAAAAAAAAAAGCACCTCTTAAAAAATGCACACTTCTATATTTAATGCTGCTCTTTAATTAGAAGTTCCAGTATTTCCTCCTGAAGGGTTTCAGGAACATTGCTGTCACAGATACATCGGCATAAGCAGGAAGCGGACGATTCCCCTGGGGCCAAACCGCTGCGCCGTCACCGGGAGCACTATGGAAATCAAGTCACACTATACCCTGGCTGATCTTTCTCCTGCTGAAAGCAAGGGCAGAGCTCCTCTTGCAAACCAGTGGGGTACATTTGGGCCGTAGCCTGGGCAGGGAGGGGAAGGTTTGCCATTGTTGCAACCAAGGCAAATCGGCAAAGTATGTCCTGGGGTGCAAAGATCCAGCCGGCGTTTTCCTTCACCGCGCTTCTCCGTTGTCGTTTAAGCAGATGCAACACCCTCTGCTGCCTTCTTTCCCCGTTTAGGTGCTTCTGATCCTAAGTGGAAACCTGAGTTTCCTCAACTGGCTGACCATGGTGCCCAGCATCGCCTGCTTCGACGACGCCAGCCTGGGCTTCCTCTTCAGCTCCAGGCGAGGAGGGGTGAAAGAGCGGGTGGCGCAGATGCAGCTCGGAGATACAGCCAGGGAGCAGCTGCCCCTGGGTGAGTTATTCCTAAAAGCGGGGAAGAGTTTCACAGAAGTGTGTTTGGTGTGCTCATCTCAAAAGCTGTCATCTTCTGCTGGAGCAAACCTGGGTGGGCAGGGTCTGTGCCCCTGCGTGGTCTCATCCTGGGGGGGGGAGAGTGCCTGGACCGCGGGTGCTAGGTCTGCACGAGCACCCTGCTTGCCTGGTTAAGTGACTGGACGTGAGGTTGGTCTTCCAGAAAGAACCAAATCGATTGTTGATCTGTTGAGGGTCCGACAACTCTTGCTAACTGGGAAAAAGACCTGGCTGCTGGGAAAGTGGACGTTCCCCGTTCACTTGGAGGAGGCGAGAGGAGCAACTGCAGCATGGGCACTGTCAGGGCAGGGAGCGAGTTCCCCAAAGCAGGGAGGAGGTGAACTCCTGTTCGTACTGCCAGTATGGAAAAGCAAATACAGGGGGGTTTGTAACTGAACAAAAGGAATCAATGTGGCTGATGTTTCCTTCTGGAGGGAGTATTCAAGCAGCCCTGTTCCAGAAGATCGCTTGCAGAAGCCACACTGGGATATTTTTCATGGGGCTGCATAACAGATGTAAAGTTGTGTTTGTAACATTTTTATAAACCGCATATAAGCAACAAATTGTCTATAATATCAACAACAATCACAGATGCTTATTTTTAAATATACTAAACATCTGTCAGAAGAATGAAAAATGTCAACAAGATACAGCATCTGTCTCTATTCCTTTCTCATCTACCAAGAAACACGGCTTAACACAGAAGCGTTAGTTCCAGCAAAGCTAATGCAGTTTCATTAAACTTTCTGTGTCTCCTATCTTACATATTTTGCTGGAAGAAATCTTTAACAACTTTTCCCCTCAGAAGCTTTTCTTGAGAGGCCGTGAGAGCCCACAGAATTCCTACCAACTATATTTTTGCAGCCAGTCCCAAAAAACACTCAAGTTGCACCTTCCTTTCTGGAGGAGAAGCCAAAGGGCATCTCTTTGGTATGGCACTTGGTGAGTCACCGTGACGGGGAGGTAGAGCCATTTTTGAGGAACTTTCTCTTTTTCTATGATATTCTCCAGAACACTTTACCGAGCCAGGGTGCCCAAGCAAGGAGAACCATCCGTAGGTACCACTGGAGTGTAGATGTGTCCCTGTTCTGGGCTTTTAAAAAGGAGTAATCCATAAGTAAAGGGTAGGGTATCTGTAGTATTCTGAGTGAATTTGGATTTCTGCATATTTTTTTCTGCTAACAAAGCAGAGGCTGTTGAGCTGGTGCTGATGGATTGTGTGGCAAGAGGCTTAGAGGAGGCCTCACCCCTGGGTCACCAGAGCAGAAGACAGGAGGGTACCCAGCCATGCCCGGCTCGTGACTGGATTTTACAAGGCTCTGGCCACATCCTTGAAGTGTGTGTGTGTGTGTCTGTGTGTGTATAATGAAACGTGTGTCCTACTGAGACCTCGAATTCCCATTGCTAGTGCTCAGCTCCTGCCTGCTGGATCCAGATCTTGTTGGCTCGCATCCCATGCTCCTTCCCCAAGTTTTGCTCCATCCTTGCCATGTAGCCTTTTTTTTTTTTTCCTCGTATTAAACCCTTTTTCTCTATGACGGAGTAGCTGTTGACCCCAAGGGCGTGATGACGATCACCACAGGCTGAAGGATGAGCAGTTTGTGCGTGGCCATAAACTGTGGCCTGAGGAGCCGCTGACGCTGCCCGTATGGTGGAGGGCTCTGTGTCTGTACCTGCTCTTTAATTACAGGAAGTTCAGCCCATCTAAAAGAGAAAAAAAATGCCCAACAGACTTAAACTGCTCTCACAGCAGCACAGGGGGCGAGGGGAGGCATCTCAGCGAGCTCCTTCCCAAACCAAATGATTCTCCAGAAATGTTCTCAGACTAAACAATTATTAATAGCTTCTGAGAGAGGTTCAAATAAACATCCCTCTCCTGCAGAGATAAGGGGAAAGCTACATGCAATTGCTTTGAATCTGATCCTTTGACTGTTAATGTTAAATAAATTTAAAATGGCCATAAGGGTAGGAACCCCTCAGGGGTCACGTCTGCTTATTTGTCTGATTGCAGTAGGTGTCTCCTTCGACTGAAATCCAGCACAGCCCTGCGCTGCTCCTGCAAACCGGCTACCAAAGCGCTGGTGAAGCAACACACGGCTCATACATAAATGCTAAGCAGTAGAGATTTTGCAAAAGGAAAACGAGGTTTGAATGGAGCTAGTGAGCGAGGGGGTAGAAAATGCAAGAAATAAGTCTGGGTGGTGAGAGGAGGAGGCAGCCACGGGCCGGGACAGAGCCCCGGGGAGCTGGAGGCACTCCACACACGGCTTACAAACCAGGAGGGCAATTTTGAGCAAGGTGCTAGTGCCAGCTGTGTTTTTTCCCCTGTCTTAAAGCAATGATTAATCTTGAATTTTAGACATTTTTCTTTTTAGCCCTTTCTCAGACTATTTAGAGAAAGGCAGATCTCTGGAGCGATAGCGTATGGCCCTTGGCAAGGTCGGGTTGATTACGGCTGAGCGTTTGTCAGCCCCAGCCCGAGAGCCAAGAGCCGCTGTGAGCACCGGGGCAGGGTCCCAGCCGCCGGGATGGGGGGGTCTGGCAGGGGAGCGGGGGGAGCAGAGCCCATCGCCGGTGGTGAAATCACTTTCTTCTGGTCTGCTTTTTGCATCCCAAACAGGCTGCTACGTCCGCAAAGTGGTGAACATCTCCTTTGGCCTCCTGCTTGCTTATCTCAGCATCCCGGTTGTCCTAAACCTGCTCAGCTCCAGACAAGTCATGAACACGTCGTTCGACCCTCTCAGAATAGTGAACACCTACGGAGCTTTCGGGAGGTACCTGTATTTCAGTGGCACATTGTGCAGCTCTGCTCCTCTCGCCCGTGTAGTCTGATAGCCGGTCTGTGTGCCTTAAACCTAAATGGAAACCCTTCCAGTAGCCGGTAGACTTGGAGTATCTGTTTACGAGAGAGAAGGAGAAAAGGAGCAGGTTTCTTTCCCACTGAATTACAGTTTATTTTCTTTGAGCCACTTTTGGTGAGCTCATTATATTGATGTAACAACTGTAATAGCAGGATGAAAATATCCATAAGAGAGTTCATCCAGTGGATAGTCTTCACCATCACCAGCCCGCTGTATTTATGGTGAACTTCTCTTCCCCTGCGCGCGTTTGCTTTCTCTCATGTAAATATTCACATAAGCTATTGGGTAGCAGATTTTAGGCCAACAAAAGGAAGTGCTTTTTCCAACGAGTGACTTGGGGAATTCGTTGCTACAGGAAGCTGTGGAGACAAAAGTATAAATGGCCTCAAAAAAGAACGAGATTGCGAGGGCAGACCTAGCAGCAGTCTGGCCGCTGCCTTCAGCTCAGGAAATCCTGCTTATGGGTGCAAGGTGGGACTGGGCAAGGGAAGCATCTCCAGCTGTGTTTGCAACCAGACTGGTTTTTCAACACCTGAGTCGGGGTTTTCTGGGGGCAGGTCACCAGGCTTAGGTCAGGTTAGGTTGGGCTCACCATAAGTGTTCTTGTGTGCTGTCCCTCCCAGCCTCTTCCTGACCAGGACAACTGAGAAAATGCTAAAAAACAGGGCTTCATCAGAATAACTTGCCCCAGGGGCAACAACAGAGCCAGTCTTGTCTGCATGGACCTCTGGCTTTGCCACCACCTTGTCGTGGTGGCCAGGGGGTGTTCCCCAGTGGTCTGAGCCCAGGGGTGGGATGGGCAGCTCTGGGGTTAGTGGGCTCTGGACAAGGTCCCACAGGAGACGCCAACACTAATTAAATAGGTTTTTTAGAAGGTGAAGCAGGTTGGCTGTTGAGAGGGCTGGCTCAGCAGATGGTTGAAGGGGAGGAGCAGGTCCACTGTGAGCACTGGAGATACAGAGGACACCTGGAGCACATCAAATTAATACAGTGTTTTCTCCAGTTTTTCAAATAGCAGAGATTTCTGTGGAAGGAGGAAAGTTAGAAAAAAACATGATTAGAAATATCAACGCTAATTGTTGAAAATGCTGAAGTTTCTCCTTTTTTTTGGGAGAGGGAGAAATAACCCCTGAACCTCTTTGAAGGCTGAAGTGGTGAAGCTACAGGAGATTGTTTTCTTTGGGTTGTTCTTTTTCTTCTTCAGTCTATGGTTTTTGTTTCAACAGTTACCAGAACCTAAAGAGCATGTGATGAAATGCTGCTGTAATATGTTTGTAATTCCAGCCTATGTAAACCAATAAAAAGAGGATTGCAGCTTATAATGAATATACGATTATGTGAAACTTGACATATTTTGAATCACACAGTAGGAACATACTTTTATTAGTAATTTGGTGTCCCTGATTTACAGTGTGTTTCTAACCATTGGGCAGCTGGCCACGGCTCATAACTCAGCCCAGTGTATAATATGGAACTTGGCTGGAGAATCCAGAAATCTATTAAATGTAGGTAACAATTATAAATGGAGACGTACAGTATTCCTTGGGTTGCAAGCATCTATCACTGGAAGCCATTGGGGGAGAAGGTGGAGGTTGTGCGTTTCCAAACTTTCGGTTTCTTGGGTTGGAGGAGGAGGGACCAAAGTAGTAAAAAATTAAAAGGGTGTTGGGAGTTGGACAACTTTGATAGGCAGGATTACGCAGTGATGTGTTCGTTATGGAAAGCAGCTCTCCAGTGTAGGCGAGCGTCACTGACAGGTCATTGAGAACTTGATGATGGTGTTTTCACGTGGGCTTTCCATGGCCTGGACAGCTCGCTGTCCCACTGCTCTACCACCTTGCTGTGCAGAGAGAGTCCAGCCAAGCAGCAAAGGCTGCCGTGACCTGCCATAAAGCTGGGGTGCTTTTTAAGCAAGTTTCTATACATCGACTGGATATGGGGGGCTTTTTTTGTTTTCATTTTTCTGCTTTTCTTGGCTTGGTTTGCATTGGGTCATACATTCCCTCCTCCTCCTCTTGCTGAGTAATAGCTCCATGAGACCTGTCTTCCAGCCAGGATGGTGAAATGTTTGGACACGTAGAGACTGTTGTTAATGGTGCCCGAAGAGTCAGCTCCTGGGGGGTGCTCCGTATGGGGCCAGCCACCTCCCCACGGCTCAAGTAGCTGTAGCCAGTTAACGTGGGCTCACTGCGAGCCTGTCCTGCCCTTGGCCATGGCCAAGGCTCGTGCCGGGGCTCAGCACCCCGTGGCCAGCGGCGCTGCGGGGAGAGCCAGGCCCGCAAAGGGGACGCTGGAGTGGTCCCAACTGGAAGTTGCTCTGCTGATCCCACAGCTGGAGGTGTCAGGGCCAGACCTGCAAAGGCAGGATTTCTGTGCACAGCCACCTGTGAAACTTCCCCTGCCGATATCACCGGTGGCCGTGCTGTTAGGGCATCCGCACGTGACGGTTACCAGCCTGTATTTTTGCACATGGCTCACGCTAAAAACCTGGAGATGGAACTATGTTTTGTGACCATCCTTCATCGCCGCTTTCCCTTATCATCAGGAGTTTGTAGTCAGAGAGCTCTTGTATCATGGGAGTCATCAAAGTAAGAGAAACAAAGGTTTTCTTCAGAAACACGGGGCAAAGAGAGAGGTTGGTGCAGATTGAAAATTCTTGTGTGGGACTTGGGAGACACTTGTTATATTCTCTCAGTGTCTTGGACAAGTGTTAGACTCTGATCTAGAAAGACAGACCCATTGATTTCGGAAGGAATCACCTTGTTGGGCTTCAGTCCTTCCCCCGACTGGCACAACTGCAGTGTGGGAGGGCGTGAAAATTGGAGTTTTCCATCTGCTTTGTTGCTGAAGAGACAAGTCTGCTGGATAGGCAGGTTGTCTGTAGCTTGACCCACCAGGATCCAGCTGTGCCCCGAGGCCGTTGAGGTAGTTGCCGTGTAGACGCTCGTGAACTGGCGTTTTACATGACTTGAGACAAATAACCATATCGTGTTGTGTCCCGCAGCATTACCAAGGAGAGAACAGAAGTTGTCCTTCAGGGGACATCCAGCCTGGATCCCAATGACCCCGCTGCTGTCTGGGAGGAGTACGACTTCAAATGCAAGCCCGGGGACTTGAAGAGGAGGCCGTGCTTCATCACCCCCTACCACTACCGCCTGGACTGGCTTATGTGGTTCGCTGCCTTCCAGGTACGTCCCTTTGGGTGTCCTGAGACTTGGGTGTCCCTGGACCAGGAAAAAACAGTTTCTATGAATTTGCTATGTGCTGGTGTGGGTGAGGGGATATTTGAAGCCCCCCGGCTGAGTTAATTATGTTAAGAAAAAAAATTGCATTCCTGAAGGATGTCCGCCGCTAGCGTAATGAAACTCTTGGAAATTTGATGTGAGGCTTTTTTAAATATTTCTCGGCAATACCAAGGGTTGAAGGCATTGAGAAAGGCCCTGGACTGGCCAGAAGCTGCCTTGCAGGGTGTCGGGACTGGCCGGGGCTGGCAGCACCCCCAGCCCGAGCCCGCATCCCCCTCGGGGACACCCCTGGGGACACCGGCAGTGGCGCCCACTGCTCGCCTGCCTACACCTGGATGTAGGGTCCTTCAAAATATTTTCCCCACGTGGTCTCAGCAAACGGGTGGCAGCCATAAAGTAAAAGAGAGAAGAGGAGGGAAAACTTGTAAAATTAATTGGTTTGTATCTTTTAGCCTATTCTGCAAAATCTCATTTGCATGAGCATGAGAGCTTGGACTGGGTTGTACAAAGCTGGGGCTTACAGCAGTGGCATGAGGCAAACCCATCTCAGATTATCACGGGTTTTTCTCTTTGTTCCTGTATCCTCTCCCGGCGTATCCTCTTCCCTCACTCCTCTCCCCCTGCCCCAAACTTCTCTGTTTGCTTTCTTTGTGGTATTTTCATTTAGGCGCCTTTTGGATTCCTCAGCAATGACATAACCATTGCTCTTTGGCTATGGTTTTATATTTACCCCGCTAGTTTTTGTGTGCTGGAATTTCATTTAATCTGCATTAGGTATGCTTATCCCTCAGCGGGCCAACAGCAAAGGCTAGAACTCAAGCCAGCAGCGGTGCCCAGCATCACACAAAGGTGCAGAAGGTTGACTGGGAGCTGTTGGTTTAAATCTGATTGTATTTTGGGAGGGCTCTGGCAGCAGAGAAGAAATCCAGCTTGCCCAACCAAAGGTTGTATCTGCGGAGGAGAGAAATGTTTCTGAGATGAGAGGAAAGCTGTTTGTTTCCAGGGCAGGAATATCCCGAAGGCTTTAAAATACAAAATGATCTCAGGTTTAAAAACCAAACGAGGACGGGGCGTAAATACTGATGCATCAGAGGCGAGCACGGCTGTGCCGGTGCTGAGAGACGCCGTTAACCCCAGCTCCGTCTCTCCGCAGAGCCCGGCCGGGTGCTGAGTGACTGGGATGTACGGGCCAGCCTGGGGAGGAGGAGGAGGAGGAGGAAGAGGAAGTAACACGGCCTCCTTCGCATCGTTGTTATTAGTTTTTACTTCACTGAGAGGTTCCCCTGAGTCTTTCTGTTCGCCTGGGCTGGAGTGCATGCCTGCCAAGGCGTCTGTCCATGCCGGCTGATTAGCAGTAATTAGCGCTGGGGGTCTCCGTGCGGTGGCGGGAGGGGGGTGCTCGCCCCCCAACTTGGGTGGGTGCAGCTGGAGGTGGGTGTCAGTCCCTCCCCGTTGCCGTGGTGATGGGTCTGTTAACCCTTCCAGCGTGTGCATCCAGTACCCGCTGCCGCGCGCCCTCGTCCCCTCCTGCCGATGGGGACTTTCCCCTGACCCCCCACCCCATGCACACAGGTCTCCATGAAGCAATTTCAGATCCCGCTCAGAAGAGATATTAACCAAAGGTTCAAAAAAGAGAGAAAAGCAAAAATAAAAATCTGAAAAGCAGAGGTGATTCATATTGAAAATAACGGGAAGGCAAGTAGCCTAGGCACAGTAGCAAGCACTTTCAAATCTGGATGTTTAGGCGTGTATATACCTGCTTAAGCGTGGAAATAAATCTCATTTGGAGTGGCCGAATGTTCGTTGGAAAACTGTGAGCTGTATATTTGGTGCTAGCTGTCTCCCCGGGGGAAGCTGGCTGTCCTGCTGTCCCCCCCCCAGCCCCGCTGCCGCAGCCAGGAGACGTCGCCGTCGTTCGGCTGTTGTTTAGACTTGAGTCACGCAGAGCTGCAGAAAGGATGAGAAACCAGAAGCCGAAACCCCAGAAGAAGTTTGTGAAGCCAGGCAAGTTTTGCAAACCCTGTACAGTAGTTTACGGAGTCCATAAAACCAAGTTACTTCAGCCTCTGGATTAGATTTAATTTGTTTTTAAAAGTTCTGGATTTTTTCTACGCCACTGCTCGCCGTCTGCCCCATCGCTTCCTGAGCAGGCGGCCGCGGGGCTGGTTTTGCAGTTCGTTGGCGGTGGCCAGGTAAGGAGCTGACATATCCAGCTCTGACAGGCTGCAGAAAACCTGGGGACTTGGGGGGAAGATATTTACCATCCCTTTGTGCTGCTCGTGACAGGTTCCTCTTTGCACCTCATCACCACTTGACATATGACGCCTTCCTTCGCTCAGGGCTTCCTGCGAAACTTTCTGCCTCGGCTAGAGCCGCAGGATTCGCTTTGAAGGGCCGGAGCGGGGGGGTGCAGGGCCCTTGGCATGGCCCTGGCACGGGCCCACGAGGAGCCACGGTGGTGCCCCGCCTCGGAATTGCAGTTTTATTAGTCGACTGCCTCTTAATTACCCTGCCAGTAGCGCCGCAATTATATGTAATGTAGCATGGCATTATTTTCCAGGAAACAATTTTCGTGATGTTAATTTTATTATCTAAATATAATATGCCTTTTCACTCGTTTGCTAAATCCCCTCTTTGTTTTGCATGTCTCGACATCCCGAGGGTGCAGTAGCTCTGAATTGAAGCCCTTCATTTAGTTCTGGCAGGGACATAACCCGCCCAGAAACGTGTCTGCGCTGCTTCTTCCCCGTCTGCAGAAAGGGAAGAACTCCCACCAACCGGCAGCGGCGGGTGGGAATCGGCGCGACCCTTTTCGGTGGTTTCTCAGCAGCAGCCGCCTCGGACGGGACCCCCTTTGCTCCATCTCCCAGCTGAGAACCTGTGTGCGAAGTGCGCTGGGGTGGTCTCGACAAAACCAGCGTGCTCAGGAACTGATGTTCAGGTGCTTGTCGGTGAGGTCGGTCGCTCCGGATCACTTACCTCCATCGCAACAGTTTAAACCAAGGTCTGAGCCAGCTTAGTGCGCGTACACGTTTCTGAGAGGAGCTAACTGGAAAGGACGGCTCTTTGCATTTTTGCAGATGCCACCGAGCCGTGAGCACAAGAGAGGGCAAGGTCTGAAAGCCCAGCGATCTTGCTGGTTTTGGTCCGAGCAGAGAGGAGAGACGTGCGCGGTGCTGCGCACAGGCAGGACCCGGGATGGGCTGGAGCAGAGCATCCTGCTCCGGGAAAGCTGCTCGGGCTGAGCGTGCATCACGGGTGTGAAAAGGCAAACGCGGTGCCGCGGTAGGCGAGCAGGCGTTTGGCGGGCCTGTGTCACCCTCCCGCTACCCTCAGCCGAGCCCCCACTTCGGGAGGGGTGCAGGGGACTGGCCAGGGTGCAGAGGAGGGACCCGCAGAAGGAGCAGCGGGGCAGAAACCTTCTCTCACAGCAGCAGATCTGCGTGGGCATCCTCGTGTCAAAACCGGTTTGGAATAGGTTGTCACCTCCTGCAAGGGGGGAGAACAGCAATCTGGTTTCCGTGTCCCCGTGGAGGAGGGAGGAAGTGATGGACAAAATGGCAGAATATGATTTGATCTCAGGAAAATTCAGGTTAAGCATTAGGAAAAACCTTCACCCCTTGACTCTATTGTGTTAGTGCAAAGGCATCCTGTTTTTGCAGAAGCTGGAGACAAATCGTGAGAGCTTTGTCTGTCCTCCAGCTCCTGATGGCAACGCTCCTGTGATGATTTGACTTCTCGTTCCTGGTGGGCATTTGTGGAAGGAGCCCAGCCATCCCAACCCAGAGCTGAGCTGTGCTGTGCCGCTGGTACCAAAAGTGTTGCAGTTTTTGGCAGCCTGTGCGTGGATTCAGCATCGCTGATAAATCAGAACCAGAAAACAAAATACTGCTCATAGTTTTGGGGCTTCAAGTTGGTCACTTTTCCTGGTAGCGGGATGTCTTGGACTTTACAAAAGCCAGTTGTTTATCATACCAAAGATTTGTTCTTCACCAGCGGGCAGCAGTAAAAAGCCTGCAGTGCTCTGAATAAAGAAAAATCAAAGGGAAGGCTTTCCCCCTCCTTACTGTGCCATAAAGGTTATTTATCCTGTTCAGGGACTGCGTTTGGCCAACGCGAAGGCACGCTCTTGGTGCCTACCAAATAATAACTACTCAAAAAATAACAAAGCTAATGCCGCCCTCATATTGGTTTTTTTTTTTTAAAGCCCAGTGTCTTTTTGCACTGAGCCTCAGAGCTGCTCCAGATGTCTGTGGGTGTCGGGGCTGGCACCGAAGCCGCTCGGGCTGGTGGCCCGTGTCACGGTGTCCTGCAGGGCTCTGCAAACCGTCAGCAGCCCCACGGCAGAGCAGCGCTGGCGATGCACCGAGCAGCAGCGTGGGTTTTCCAGGTACGATGTCTAAGTTTATTTATAAACTTCAGCTGCCTCCCTAAGAGAAGAGAGAAACTTCAGCGGCGGGATTGATGCTCCGAGGATCTCCCCTGACTGGTAGCAGGGAGCCGTGATGGAGGCTTCACGTTTTCACCCAGGAACTGGGAGAGCTGAGAGAAAGCAGCCCTGCTTACAGAGAAGGCAGATTAATATTTTTGTGAAATATTTTATTCAAGCTTCTGTTATCTCAGTCTTCCAGCCAGAAGGTGCTTACAGGAAAAAGCTGCATGGCAGCAGAATGGAGGAGGAGGTGTGTGTAATGTAATAAAACCTAAACCTCATGCACAGTGTACTAAGCACAGCCTTTTACATTTCCTTTCTTCCCCCTTCTAAAAATATAGGCCTCAATTCACTTCCATTTTCCATTGCAGCATTCATACATTTTGGTCCATGTTCAGCACGTAAGAATTTTATTTTCTTCTTTTAACTGTGATTACTTGTCTCCCTGTGAATATGAATCATTTCAAGCCCCCGAGCTGCATTTAGACAAACTGCAGCCTGGATCATGGGCAGACTCACCTCTAGTAGTAATACCGTGATGGAAGTGCTCAGAAACCCAAACAAGACCGATAGCCTATCGTGCCACGGACTGTATAAATACCGAGTAAGACCTTGTCTATGCAGGGAATAATTATTGTCTACAGTGGCTATTGTATCTCTCTGTCTAGACTCTATTCTGGAACAAAGTGACTTTTCTTTCCAAATACAGAGGTGATACGGGAGCTATGCCAGGTGCACGATTTCCCTGCATAGGCAAGATCTAAGAGCCAGTTCCCAACGTCTTGCTCCGCTCTCTCACGCAGCCTTTTATTCCTCAGCCTGGACCTGCTGCTTTCCCAAGAATTTTCTAACAGGACGGGCTAAGGGATGGCTTATAGTGGGGCTTGAGAAGCTGCCCCTGCTGAAATACTATACATTGAGCCAGGCCTGCGGAGAAATGGCTTGCCTCTTTGGGAAACTAATAGAAAGAAGGGGATGTGGTTATTGGAGATAATGAGAAAGTGATGTGACCTGACGTAGCCTTTGACCTTCCTTGGTTAAGTCGCTTGGGTAGCAGGATGGTAGCAAACGGCGATGAGCTGCAATATTATAAAAAAGCAAAGGCCTGCATTAGTTCCACCCTCTTCTCTGTGAGACGTGGATTATTTCTCCAGCTGATAGCTCAAGTTCCCTAAACAGCAACAACTGAAGGCGCTCAGCTACAGAGGTGGAAACAGCAGCATAAACAGCAATGTGAATATTGGGTGAAAATACCCAGGATGGTGGAGTTACCGCTTGCTTTACATCCCGCAGTGGGTAGGCTGTGACGCGAAAAATGCCCCTTATGACATAGCGCGGGAAATGTAAACCTCCCCTACCCCCCCGTCACCCGCCCTCACACACCGACGCCGATGTGAAACCGTGCAGAGCTCCCAACCATGTGAAATAATAATGCTGGGCGCCCGTGCCAAGTTTCCAGCTGTTTCCACATGTGTATCTCATACTTACCTCCTCCCGTGCGCCTGTGCCAGGACCGAGATTCAATAAAATGCCACACTAATCCACAGTCCTTTTTCATTAAATGACCAATTAAAGCTAGAGGAAAAGGGTTCTTATTATTTCAGTTGGGAGCGTGTTCCCTGTAGCACCGGGTGGGTTTTATATGTATTTTTTGCGATGATTATATTCCCTTCTATTTCGTTATCTCTGCAGAGTTTCGTCGCTACTGCGTCTGGTTTGCCCCCAGCTCCTCGCTGTTGCCTGGCTTAGCGGTGATTTGGTTTTTAATTCGGTAAAGTCATTAAATACCTCTGTATACAAGCTGATGTATTCAAGGTGAGAATGCCGTGTTTATGCGCTGGCAAAGTAAGTGGAGAGGTCGGGGAATCGAAGCAGTTGGAGAGAGGTCTCGGGGCAGCGCCGGTCCCGGGAGGGGGTGGCACCCCGGGGTGCGCAGTGATGCCACGTGCGGGTGGGGAGAAGGAGGGAACCCCCATCCCAGAGCAGCGTGCGCAGCGAGCCGTGCCCGGAAAGCTCGGAGGGAACCAGCTACCCGAGCCCTGCGCAGGGCTGAAGCCCGTCAGGAAATAAAAGCTCATGAGGTCTTAACGCTTAGTCGCGGGTTCCCTGTGACGTAGCTAAAACCTGATTTTCGGAGGCCTCGAGCTGTAAGGACAGTTAGAGGTGATCTGGCTCGCTGGAGAGCTGCGCCTGCTGCGTTTCTGCGGGTCTGCGCGGGCCGGCCGTGAACACAGCAAGGCTTTGGCTTTGTGGGGGGGGCAGCGTTGCTTTGGGAACCTTAACCTCGGCCTGAGCTGCCTTTCTCCGGCGTTTCAAGTTGGCTTGATGATGGGGTTTTTGTGTTCAGGTTCGTTAGTTGCTTTCTATGCTGTGACAGAAAGAAAACTCTCCAAAGATAAAGGAGAGCTGTGTCCACATCCACGGTGGGCTGCATCTGGGGACCTGTGTCGCTGCTGCAAGGTTAGTCCCCGGCTGCTGGTCTCTGTGCTCGCTGAAGATCCAAAACCTAAAGCTGAATCCAACACGTTGCGCGTCTGCCCACCTTAAAGCAGCAACGTGTGCGCCTGTCCTGGCTTTTCTCTTTTCTTCATCCACTGGATGGTTCAAGCTCTGCCTCTCCCGTTTTGCACGCTCAGAGCTGGCAAAAGCAGAGCGCAGTGCCAGGGCCCCATCCTGACCATCGCAGCTCTGCAAACAGTGTTTGGGTCTGGGTCTCACTGTGTCACCTTCCCACCCTGCGGTGTGATGCTTCTCTGGACGCAGCCCAGATCTCCCGGACTCATTTTTTTTTTTTTTTTTTTTTTTTTTTTCCCCCTCCCTTTGCCACCATATCACTTTACAGAGTAATGAGTTAAACAGCGCGGTTGTTAGTGCAGCTCGGCTCCTGCGTGCTCCGAGCATCAGCGGCCCGCGATATCTAAGCCTTCGTGCTGGGGAGGGGAGGGCTGGGGGGGGGGGGGGCTGCACCGGGTGGAAATTTCTCACCGCAGACTTTGCTGGGGCCAGACATGTTGTAAATTTTACAAGAAAAACACTTTACAAACCAGAAGTCCAACTCTCGTGCGCATGGAGCCGCTAATTAACAATTTGGAGACCATGTGAGCCAGGGAGCCAATTCCACCATTACAGAGCCTCACGGTTTTGAATCAGGCTTTGAAGATTTGGGATCCTCCATACAGCTCTCGCTCCAGGAGTCTGGTGATTTCTGTGTCTGTTCTTCTCCAGCTTCTCCTCAACTTGTGCACAGGAGCCCTCACGCCTCCCAAGGCCCTCCTAGAAACAGCGCCTAAAATCACCCAGAGCGCTTTAAAAAGGGATCTCCAGGAAGGCACAGGATGCTGAAGGTCTGACTCGCGGTATTTGATCGTCTGCAATTGCTGTTGCACCTCTCGGGGAGGTCCCTGCTCCCAGCCAAGGGTGCCCCGGGCTGTGGGTCCCAGCGTGGCACCCGCCTTCCCGAAGCCCACCCTGAGCTGAGCCGTCGAGGGGAGTTTTGGCGCGGGTCGTCCCGTGACGAGGCGGTTGGGCCCTTGGCAGGGACGCTGCCGGTTTTTCCCGCAGCCCTGGCGGGGTTATTGCAAGACTTGCGAGGTTCGTGTTTAACATTTTTGGGGATGCCAAGCTCCCAGCTCCGGGGGCTCACCGCGGCTCCCCTCCCAGACCGCCACATCGGAGCCACCGCGTCCCCCCTTGAGAGCTGCCACCTCCTCTGCGCCGGGAAGGGGCCTGGGAGATCTGGGAGATGGGGGGGGGGGAGTGGAGGGTCGGTGGAAAGAGGAGTGCACCGGAGGATCAACGGGGGGCTTTGGGGTGGGCAGAGCGTGGCACGGGGCTGGCGGTGGGAAACATCCCTGGCTCCAGCACCCACCCGTGGTGGTGCAGCCGGGACAGGAGAGGGAACCAGCCGCACGGTGAGGCAGGACGGAAGCAGGCGGACGGGGAGAGTAATCTTTTTTAAAAAGTTGTTGGCTTAAATAACCGTGGGTTTCCTCTAAATTGCGATGAGCACGGGTCAGAAACCCTGCGAGGTAGAGCTGCCGCTTGATGGGCCTTTCCACCAGCGTTTGGTGTTTTCCATCTCGTTTCTCTCCTCTGTTTCCCTTAGCAACGGAAATAACAAACTCTGCCATTAGAAAAGATTTGCAGAGTAACTTTGCCTTGATGTTCTGCGTTAGTCACAGTCCTGCAGGTATAGCTGCCGGGTTTCGCTTTCCCACAGTGTCCCCTACTGCTTGCATGAAAAAATCCATTTAGGTACACATTAAAATAGGAGGGGAAAAAAAAAAAAAAAAAACAACAAAACAAAACAAGAAAACCAAACCTTAATGGAAGTATAAGGCACAGAAAGTAACCAGAAGGGGAAACGCTTTTTGTGGAGCCTCAGCAAGAATCCCTGTGAAGAGCATGAGACTCGTGGATTTGTGGAGGGAGGTAAATGCCGAGTGAAGTTCTGCCACTGCAGCTTGGGCTGCGGCTCCTGAGAGCTGAGCTGCTCCCTGGCAGGGGCACGGGATGTAAAGAGCACAGATTAGATTGAGGGAAATTTAAATAAGAGAAAGGAAACAGGAATAGAGAAGTCACCTTCTGTTTTCTCTCTGATAACACAACGGGGGGAATCAGCCTGTTTTAAACTGATGTGTGGATCGTCCTTTCAAAATGTGACGTTACTGTTCCTCTGTGGAGCTTGCGGCTAAAAGAAATTATTAAAATCAAGTGTTCGGCGGGGGGAATAATAGGCGAGGTCACCTCCAGCTATGGTAGATACACGTAAAGTCAAAAAGAGATATGTGATCCGAGGTGGAGGAGGAGCCACAGAAGTCTTCGATGCTAATAACACCGCATGACAAGCCCGGCGGTGCCTAACTTTTGTCTTTTTTATTCCTTCCCCAAGACCTACGAGCAGAATGAATGGATAATCCACTTGGCTGGGAAGCTGCTGGCCCAGGAAGAGGAGACCTTGTCCTTGATGGCAACGAACCCCTTTGCTGGCCGAGCACCCCCACGGTAAGCTTTGAGTTTTGCCGAGGGAGCTGGAAGTGCCCGACCTCCGTGTTGGTCCTGCCTTGGGTGGGCACACGTGGTTTCTGTTGATGGATCGGGTTTTGTATTTGCTGGTACCCAGGTGGCCCTTAAATAGGGTGAGTTTAACACGAGGACACCATGAAGAGCTGGTGCTCGCAGCACCTTAATGCCTTCCCGGGGGGGACTCAAGGACCCTTCGGCTGAGCCCGTGCCCAGGCAGGTCTGTGAAGGGCTCGGCGTTGCTTCTCTTGGCCAGAAATCATGGCTGCTGAAGTGGTTTCCTGCCCATCAGCTTTAGATTTTTTTTTGCCATGATCACTTGGCGAGCTCAGGTCAAAACTACTGTTTCGACTGAGGTATTTCAAAGACAAAACAGTCTTGCAGAAATGATTGTTTTTGTGGACACTTGTCTTGGAAGTGTTTGTGTTTTCAATGAAGAGACAAAGCAAACATCAGCAAGTGAAAGGCACAGATGAAAACTCTAAGGTTTTTTACAAAAGGAAAATTTTCACAAAAATGTCTATTTTGTTGATGAAGTTATTTTTAGCTGAGAAAACATTTGAAGGGAATTTTGGACGAACTCAAGTAATAGTATGCTCTTGCTAATATTTTCCATTTGAGGCTCTTAGAATGCACAGCAAACAAGGATGAAGGTTCACGGCACCGTGTGAAATGAACTTCCTCTTGAACCCTGCTGATGTTTTTAAGCTTTAGTGCAGTGCATCCCCCAGACCTTCGGAGGAGAGACTCCTTCTCCAGCTAAGACACTAAGAACTTCCACCTTTTACCTTCCTCTGAGATGGTTTACACATCCCAAGATGGTATAAATGTATAAACCCAAAATGGTTTATACTCTGAGCAGAACGTATGTCTGTGTATAGTCTGCAGAAAAAAACAGAGCCTGGAATACAACCACTGAGTGAGTTTCCCACTGTCATATTGGAATATTTCTAATAACCACATTTCTGGGGGTCCCCAGGCATCCAGCCCTGTCTCGTAGTACACAGGCACCTTATGAGAGCATCAGTACAGGCTGATGGGACGTAATCCCTCTAAGTAATGGTTTTACACTGAAAGAGGGCAGATTTAGGTGAGCTCTAAGGCAGAAATTGTTCCCTGTGCGGGGGGTGAGGCACTGGCCCAGGGTGCCCAGAGCAGCTGTGGGTGCCCCCTCCCTGGAAGGGTTCCAGGCCAGGTTGGACGGGGCTGGGAGCCCCCTGGGCTGGGGGAAGGGGGCCCTGCCCGGGGCAGGGGGTTGGGACTAGATGATTTTTAAGGTCCCTTCCACCTCAAACCAGTCTATGATTCTAAGTACAGGAGCCAAGGCTGCTGTAAGAAGAGTTATTTGGAGGTTTTTGCACGTATTCTTATTCAAGGACCCATTTTCCCAGGGGTGCAGCACCGCAGGGCGAGCAGTGGGCATGGGGCAGGAGCCCCACAGCCGCCCCCCCCCCCCGGGGGGCCCCTAAACGATGGTTTATAGCTCAGGGTGCGCTGTAGGGGGGTGTCGCAGTTTGTTGGGTTACACAACCAGCAGATCTGTTACACACCAATAATGACGCCTTGGCTCCAGCCCAGGAGGGCTCCGGGGAACCTCTATTAATTATTGCTACAACAGGCGTGCTGGGCTCCCCCAGCACAGCCCGTGCCACGGACAGATACAGCTTCAATAATGTTTACGGAGGGGTTTTAGCTCTGCTCAGCTGTGCTGGGGTCAGCTTTCCACGCGAGGAGCGGCAGGCTGACGCTGCTGCGTTGGGAGGAGCACGGGAAACCTCTTTGCTCCGGGCCGTGTTCTCATTTTGGCCGTGTTTCCTCTGGGTTTTTATGGACCTTCACGTGCCCGCGCGTGCGTTTATCAGCCCAAACGGGGTCTGCGGCTTGGGACAGCGAGCTGGACCTCCCCCGGTGCTCCCTGCCTTTTCGGGGGGCTGCTCAGCAACAACCCCCCCCCCCCCCCCCCATGGAGGTGGCACCTTTTTGGTGGCCGGGGAAGGGGCCCAGCGCAGCCCCAGCTGCAACCACCCACGTGGTGAAAGCAGTGGGTGCCTCGTTAGGGTGCTAACGACTGTCAGAGCTCACCAAGGGCAGAAATGGAGCCCCTTGAGGGGGCTCACCCAGCGGGAGCTTGTCGGGGAGATGGTGTCGGGGCGTTATGTGCCAGGCTGAGCTGGAAGAGCGACTGGAGCACCTGCGCCGCGTTGGCTCCGTCTTGGGTGGATTTACCAACCGAGCCCTGCCAAACTTTGCTCACGTCCCCGCGGCTCGGTGCTGTAAATTCACCCCGCGGTGTTCTTCATGGGGTGTTCCTTTGCGTTGCCAGGGGGGTGTTTTATTTTAAAAAAAAAAAAAAAAAAAAAAAAAAATTAGAACAAAGTAAGTCCGACCTGAGTGCTGGCCGACCCCGGAGGGTTTTAGCAGAACCGGGGACCTTTAGGCACCGAGTCACCAGTTTGAATTAGGTGTCCCCTGGTGCCAGCAGCCAGAAGCCACGACCATCTGGTGGCTGCTGGCAATAAACGGCTCTCGCGGTTCACGGGGCGACAGAAGCATTTGATAATCCCAGAGCTGTTTATTACCACGTGTCCCCCAGTGCCATAAACGTTGCTCCTGGTACTCACCACAACTGGGGCTGAGAACAAGACATCGTAACAGATTAAAAGGCAAGAAAACGTGTATCACGTCTTGCCTTGCAGGATTTTGCCGCAGACGGGCTGCTTCCTAGAATCAGTGGTGTTAAAAATAATTAAAATAAAGTAGTCGAGCACAGGAACTCATTTTAAAATGAAAATAATGAAGTGGGATGTGGCCAGGATAACACTACATCGCTCCAGGTGGTGAATAGGGTTTTTTATTGTATTCTGTAACAGGTGAGGAAGTGAAATGTTCAGGAATTTAAAGCAAAACCAAAAGCAAATCTTTATCTTTGTTAGTTTTTATAGGATAACGATTGCACAGCGTGCCGAGGAATACAAGCAGGTCCAGTAAGTAATTACACAGCAGCGTGGATGCTGTGTTGAACACACGGTGCTATAGATCTTGTTGAACAGGGTCTTGATTCATGCGTTGCCTTGGTTTAACCGAAGCACAGACTCTGTTTTCACTCTTTAGCAGCTAGTTTATAGTAGGAAAAGATCAGGATCCAGCGCTGGTTTTATGTGTCAGCTGCCTTTGCTCTGGCATTAGCTTTGCTTTAAAAGTTTTTCATGGGTCTAGTGTATTTTTGGGTGGCGTAAAATAAAAATAACAATTTACAAATGCTCCTTTTGGCTCAGACCAAAATCCAACACCCCATTTCACTCTGGATCCAGGGTTGTGGGTCACATTTTGGGTTTTAGCAAGCCAAACGCAAACACCTGGGACATTGGCACCGTGGGGATTTTCACCCAGGTGTGAGGCTGCGGGCTGGGGGCACGGGTGGGTGCTCACGCTGCCCACGCCGGGCTGCTGGGGGGCAGATCCTGCGCTGGGCTCTCACGTCACTCACCGATGCCTGTTGCTATTTACATTTCTTTGGTTATTCCTTGTTTGCTGTTAGCGCTTCGCCTGCATAAGGAAACTGAAGTGACCATTCGCCTTTCTTTTTTTTTTTTTTTTTTTTTTTTTTTTTTTTGATTTTTGTGCCCCATCCCTGTTCTGCTGGGTTTACACTCGTGGTGCTCGTGGCCGGGGTGGGCACAGCGGCTCCGTCAGCTGCTTTTCACCCAGCGTTACTTCTGCTCAGGCGACCTCGCCGGCTCGGTTTGTGAGCCCTTTCCTTTAAATTTCAAACCCACCATTTCTTTGTTTTAATTTTAAACGTCCCCCTGTTGCGTGCCGAAGCTCCCAGCGGGGCTGGCGAGCCCTTTACACCCCCGTCACAGCCCCGTTCCCACCACGGCCGGTACCCGGGGGACTGATCTGTGCCCTCCAATCTGGGTGCAAAAAAGCGTGAGAAGCGGCAGTTAGCAGGATACCTACTTTTTTAATCTAAGACCCCTCATTAACTGAGCGCTGGACGTGGGGCATCCTCAGCGCTGCCAGCCGCTTGCAGCCAGCGATCGCCTCTTTGCTATAATTTCATTTGAGTTGTGAACAAAAGCCTTAAATTCAAGACTCAGCGGTAACACCTGGGGAAAAAAAAAAAAAAAAAAAAGATAATTTCGGGTGGCTGTAGCTGTGACGGTTTCTGAAGGGCATCCCTGCCCCCTCCCCGTGAGCCGGAGCCTGCCTGCGCCGGCCGCGAACCTCAGAGCCGCCTTTGCTCCCACCGTCCAGCTCAGGATTGTGCCCACCACGGCTCGGGTCCCTTCGGTAGCTGGGTGGAAAAAAAGCTAATTTTCTTACCATATTCCCCCCTCCCCGCTCCACTCTAAAGGGAATTTTGAGACTTAATTATTTTCATTCCTTGCTAGACTAAATAATTAGGGGAAGGGACTGTTTTCCATAAGAACATTATGCTCCATACTCCACGGAGTTTATTCTGTTAATGGAAACTCTACACCTTAAATAGCCAAGGGACTTTCAAAATGAGTTAATGCCTTCGAAATGAAATTTCTGAGACCAAAGTTTGTAGGTTTCTTTACAACTCCAGAAATTATAGTATTTTTTCAAGTGTGATAAACTTAAAATGAGAAACAGGTGACTGATTAAAAATGAGGGTATTGTTGAGCGCCCAGCCTAGCTGAGTGTGAAGCTTTACTTCAAGCACGGTGATGTTTGTGGAATGTAGATTTACAAAATATTATTGTGCAGCGGATAGTTCATAAAACACCAGCCGTCATAAATCTGAATGGTAGGGCTTTGGCTGAGAAATTAATAAGTGTTTAACACACCGTCATGGAAACAGACTGCAACAATAAAAGAAAACAAAAATCAGATTTTGCCTACAGAAGGAGGAAGAAAATACAGTTTTTTATTTTTGACCTGAAGTGTTCGGTGTCTCTGATATTAAATCATGTTCACTTAAGGACTTTTATTCCAATTATAGTAGCACTTTGTTG